CTCCTGCTCCTATGACGTGGACCAGGTCACACACGCACACACACACACACACACACACACACGCACACATATATATAAACACACCACACTCCACCTCCACATAGTCCTTTGTCAAACGACTTTTACATGACAAGTGATAAAACGTACACACACACACACACACACACATACACACACACGTCCTCCCTCTGCCTCAGTCTGTCTCTCCTACCTGTCTTGCGGAGTGGGAAGTCGTCTTTGCCCTCGTAGTTCCCCAGCAGTGGGGGCAGTTTGTAGGAGGGAGGAGTTCCCGGGGTGTTACTCTGCGGGGGAGAGCCTTGCTCCAGGGAGGTGTGCTGGGCTCCCCTGCAGACACATACACACACACACACACACACAAGGGGAAAGCGAGTTAGCTGGCTGATAAAACAGTCACAATATGAAGTTATGAAGTGTAGTGTTTTGCTGTCAACCTGCTCAGTGTACTTGTACTTCACTTAGTCATTTCCTACATTTCCTAGAATGCCTTTCCTGTTATTTCCTGTTACTGTAAGTCTTGAAACATTTCCTCTGTGCCTCTTCTTGGACAAGTTATTGTTGCTGAAAAGTAGTGCAAAATGGATTGAGAAAAAAGTTTTGCAAGGACATCCGAACCTGACATTGTCATTTCCTGTTGAAATTAACTGGACATCATAACCCTTTTCAGACATGGAACATTCATCAATCTGTTAGAGCGGTGGCTTTCTGTCATCCAAACATAGATGTCTGATGTGTATATGTGTGTTGCAGCCTTAAACACATGCAACATCATTACTATAATCAACCTGCTGTTGTGACTTTCACACAAAAGTCAAACTCATGTAGACACAAGACCATGTAAAACTGCCATCACACTTATGTAATGAGGACACATTTAATATCTGTCAATATTGGTAACTTCCTATCACTATATTGTATCACCTACTGGATCAATTTATTTATTTTAATTTGCAAATGTATTTATTGTTTTTAACCACATGAGTTTCTTGCCAATGTTTGCTTAAGTTCTACTGTGTAAATGGAATATTGATATACAATATTATTAGTATGAGATTAAAGGACCAGTGTGTAGGATTTCGTGGCATCTAACAGTTAAGTTGCAGATTGCAGCCAACTGAAACCGCTCACCATTTAAGCATGTAGAAGAAACCATGGTGGCTGCAAAACAAAAACAAAAAGTTCCTATCAAGAGCCAGTGATTGGTTTGTCCCTTCTGGGCTACTGTAGAAACACAGCAGTTCAACATGGCGGACTCCGCCAGAAGAGAACCCACTCCCTCTGTAAATAAAAACAACTCAGTTCCTATATTCAGGTGATTATACACTAATGAAAACATAGCTATGAATATTATGTTCCATTTCTGACTATAGATCCTCCTAAATGTTACACACTGGACCTTTATTATTCAGTTCATATGTAACCTTGGTAACTAGTTACTTAAATTATTAACATAAACACAACACAATTGGTGCTATTTTATGTATTTTGACTTTTTCCCATGTCTACAACTCATCATCATTACGTTTACTCTGCAGATGAAAGTCCTGCTCTGAGGTTGGAGTGTTTTTAACTTTCACTGTAGAGCATGTTAAGCACATCATCAGTCATATTAGTTCTTCCATGCACTTCTTGTTTAACCAAAATATTTTTCACAACTAGTTTTTTGTTTAGTTTTACTTGACTGTAACCTTAGTGTATACCGGAATGTGTCTATTGAAGGGCAGTGTACTCAACCAACACTCTCTGCGTACTCAAGCAGCAAGAAGAAGCCACAACTAGCAAAACTGATTTTTGTGGGAGGTGTGCACATTAAACACGCTTATGTGTCTTACATTTGAGCTGAAGAGTCAGTACAACAGAAATTGGATGATTCCTACAAAATAACTTTCACATTTTATTTTTCGGTAGACTAGGCTGGGGACCATGATGCCTCGAGCTGGTTAAATTAACCAACCAACCAACCCATATGCATGTAGCAGGGAAGTAAATAGTAAATGAACTGTACTTGTATAGCGCCTTTCTAGTCTTCTGACCTCTCAAAGCGCTTTTACACTACAAGCCACATTCATCCATTGACACACATTCATTCAGGCCATCATAACAAGAAACTAATTCATTCACATTTTATTTGGGGTTCAGTATCTTGCTCATGACACATGCAGTGGGAGAAGCCGGGGAATGAACCACTAACCATCTGTGGATCAGTGGATGACCTGCTCCACTCTACCTCCTGATCCACAAGTTTCAGCACAATACCTAGGAGTGATTCTCATTCTGAGATGCTTGGGCTGGGTTCAGAAACCCCTCACTGCTTATTTAAGTCGAGGCTGGACTACAAAACTGTTAAAGCCTCACAAGTGTAATGACCTGTCCCGAATTCAAAATGTGCTGTCTATAAACAAAAGTAGTTTCTCTTGTGATCCAGCAGACTGCGCTCCACTATCAGCTTGACCCGTGGCATGCCCTTCTGACCTATCAGTAAACTAAAGCAGTAATGATCTGTTGTTTACTACTAAAATGGAGGACGCAAGTGAGCAAAGCATGGAGCAAAGACGTCCTGAGTGGACAATCGCAATCTGAGAAACAGTTCTGTCGACCTTATACAAAGCAGCTGTCTAACTCTACAACCACAGCGAATCTGCGCCTCACTTTGAGTGAGGCAGCGGAGCGGAGGGACCACAGATGAGCGGAGTTTCTGGCCCGTTGCCAGATGCTCATAAAAATGCCACCACCGATAAGAGAGCGAGATTTATATGCAAGGATTAGTGGATATGTGGCTTATTGGGGTGGTAAGAGAGAATTATCCTACAGTATAGTTTTTACATGTACTAAGTTTTTATTGTTTATAGATAATGCATCTGAATTCATTCGAACAGATTGTTTGTCACTTGAAATTTGTTCAAATGGGATATTTGAAAAAATTGACAGCACTAGTTCACACCAGGGAATGAGTAGGGCTCACACTCTTCATTCATACAGTAAAAAAGACGAATTAAAATTGATACATATACAATGTAGAGGGCTTATATGTAATGATACTGTGATGTGACGGATCTGTCCAGGGACAGGTCGTGTTCTCTGCAATCCTCACCAGCACTTTGGGGAGAAGGAATGGTTCAGTCCGCCAATGCCAGGCTCTTTCTTACTGAGAAGGAACTCCTGGAGCTTCAGCTTCACCTCCGTACTGGCAATGGCACCTTCCAAAACACAGAGAGAAACAGCAGTCAGGACACTTCACTGTCTTTATACTGACGGCTTGTAGACACAGAGCAAACCTGTGCATAGCATGGTAGCAGCAGCAGCGTAACTTACTCTCTTTGCCTTTCTCCTTGTTCCTCAGCAGCAGCAGTTGTTGCTCCAGCCGATGTTTCTCCTGCTCTTCGTGTCTTTGTTGCTCTAGTTTCCTCTTCTGCTCCAGCTCCTGCTGCCGCTTCGCTGCCAACAGCTCCTGTTGTTGCTTACACACACACAAAAACACACACACGGACACAGTCAGTATGGTGGGTGTGTGTCCAGGTGAACTAGTCAGCTTGTAGGTTCAGGAACTAACTACCTGACTAGCTACCTTCAGGTGCTCCTGAAGCTGGACCTCGTGTTGTCTCGTGAGCACTTCGTGTTTTTTCTGGAACTCTGCAAACAGCAGCTGTTTCTGGAGTTCCTGCTGCTGTTTGAGTAGGACAAGTTCCTGCTGGAGCTGCTGCTCCCTCAGGGTTGTGTCCACCGCCGTCGCACCCCCAGACAGAGACCCCACCCTGGGCTCTGTGCGCAGGTCCACTGGGCCTCCTCCTCCTGGGCCTTCTCCTGGACCCCCACCTGGAAAAGCGGTCAACTTTACTCATCCACTGTCTGCTGTCTGTTTTTAAACTTGCTTTAACTTAACTTAACCTAACTGTCCTTTGTATTTTTGACTGCAAGAATCAGCAAAAGTGGGTTGAAAAAAAGCACTCCATCAGTGTTTGGTTACCTACTCAACTGGCTTCTCTGGGGTCAACCAAAACAGTGGGTGCCCACAAAGTAATTAGTCCAAACTTTCTGGAACCTGTTGAACCACTAAAACAGACCACTGGAAGCAGTTCAAAGGACCCCTACATCCTACAACTAGGCCACCAAAAGCATTAGAAAGGTCTTCCAACAGCACTATGAATTTAACCCTAAAGGCCAAAGTGAGCTGACCCACCTATATCAGCTGATGTATTGGAATGAACGATTTATTGGTTTGGCTCTAGAAGACAACACTAAGGAAGTTAAAGAGTGAACCTATCGTGACGTCACCCATTGGTTTGTGGAGTATTGTTTTGAAGCCTCAAGTTTGGCATTATGGTCGTCGCCACCCCAGTTTATCGGAGCCAGCAAAGGTAACGTACTGCGAGTTAAGCTGCTCTTATTGGCTGCGCAGTTTCGACTCATTCGTAACAGGAAACAATGGTGGCTCTCCAGGTGTTACAGCTAAACAGTACACTAAAATATGTTTCTGAAACAATTTTAAGTGAGAAATAGTCAACGCAGTAAAAGATGGCCTAAAGCATACCCTGCTTATGGTCTATTTTACTCTAAATGGGACCATCATTTACTATTATTTACTGCTGGCCTCTACATAGAATGCAGGTTTAAGAAGCTTCACTTCACAGACCCAGAAGCTCTGTCCACTATACTGTCAATGAAATGAATGTAAACATGGCGAAGAACATCATACAGCCTTAACATGGATGATACATCCTTGTGGTAATGACAGGGTGCCATTACTGGGTGAAACTGAAACGGCTTTATGGAACTTGTTCCACATTATGCAGCAATAAACAGACTTCGATAAAATCAGTGGAGTTCCCCTTTAAGTAACTCTCGAACCCACCTAGAGACCCTTAGAATCCCCTAATACTTTTTAGACACTTTTAGGAGGCAATCGAGACAGTAAATCAAACCCCTTTTTAAGAACCCCCCAACACACACACACACACACACACACACACATATATCAAGGACTCTTAGAGGACTCCCTACTCACCACCCTCTCCACCTCCTCCTCTCTGCTCGCTTGCTGTTCCTCCTGGGCTCTGCATGCCCGATGGGAGGCTGCTCTTCACCTCCACTACTGCAAGACAGAGAAAGAGAGAGAGAGAGAGAGAGAGAGAAAAAGAGAGATAGAGAGAGATTGATTAGTCTGGAAAATGTTGTCAGACCATTACATCATTCATTGCATGTCCCCCCACACACAGAGGCGGTTCCCATTTCATTCAGATGAGCTGTGATAGTGTTGTAAGAAGTGAGGAACACAGCGTCCTGCCGCCTAAAAATAGCCACAAGCCTAGCATTAGCCTAGCATTTGATAGCACTGACTTACAAATGTTACCTTGGCGTTAGCCTAGCCTATACTCAGCAGGGGCTAGGCTAAAGGACACTGCGGAATATGTTAACATGTGCCACACATATATTCAGAGACAAATGATCAGAGAGGCCTGCTGTTATTAATAGCAGTGTGGCGGAAAGAAAGAAAAAACGGGAAGAAGGAAGAAGGAAGAGGGGATTGCAGGAAAAGCCAGTGCATTACAGAAATCAGTGGAATCAGAAACGTTAAACTGTAAACGAGTCCACTCAATCAGGGAAGAAATGCACCGCCTTGCACTGATCTGGATTTGTGGCCTCCACTTGTGCTAATCAGTATGACAGATTAATATTGATTTCCTGCTTCGGGCACCAGAGTGGCGTGAGCTGAATTTCACCTCATGAAATGAAAGATATGGAACTAATCGAGGCAATAATTCATTTTCATCATTTCAAATTTGTCAACAGCAATAAAGTTTCAGCCTATAAAGTGTAGTGTTTGGGGACATTCCTGGAAGTTAGGTGGGAAAATCTGTTAGATGGTGCCCTAAAAAGACACAGTATTTGGACTATTGTTGCAAAATATATGCATTTTGATTATACTTCATCATACGCTCTCTATAGTCAAGTTTCTGTCCAAATTCAATTTCAAAATTCAATTGAATTTCTAAAAATCTGCAAAAGAAAATGTGAATGAATGCGTGTTTCCATCCACTACTGTAATGCAAATATTTGAACTGGGCAAATATTAAAGGATCAGTGTGTAGGATTTAGAGGCATCTAGTGGTGAAGTTGCAGATTGCAACCAACTGAACACCGCTCTCGTCTGTATTTGACGACCTAGGAATGAGAATGGGCTGTGATGTGTGTGGGAGAAACTACAGTGGCTGCGACGTTTGAGCCACGTTTCTTCGCGTAGCACTTAGTGCCATCTAGCGGTGTAGTT